GAAATTCCATCAAACAAAATATCAAGTGAACCTACTACCATGTCCAACTGCAAAACTATGGCCATGGGAAATTGTGGTCAATTGCAGAGATTCCCTTGTTCTCTATTTGGGACCTGCTAGCAACCTCCGGTCAACATCATCAGCTCACAACAGGACAGGCTCTAAGTCTCCGCTTGGATGTGGGCACTCGCAAAAATCACTGGTTTGATGCTTGTGTGGCACTTGGGTTGATGCGAAGGAGCGGCCGTTTGCAGCCTCTTGAGGTGTCTCACCAGCTAACCCCAGCGTAGCTGGTGAGCCTAAGCCCGGGATGAGAGTTTCCGTCGGTGGCGCTGTCGCCCGGCTGCACTTCTCGGTGCAAATGTTTGCCCTGAAATCAAACCGTGGAGGCGAAGCTATGTACCAATAGCAGTGTGTAGCTCATCCCTGAAACCTTGGGGGGCAGTCACTGGCATCGGCACCTGTGACAAGCTTGCAATGGTCAACCCTCCGGGGGGGTTGTCCAGGGGGGGGTTAAAATTGGTAAAGTCATCAAAGCACCAAACATATGACCTATGACCTATGCGTCTCCCGCCCCCAATAATTCTTCAAAATTCGGCCCGGCGAGTCGGCCGCGCCGTAGGCCAGGAGGAAGGCCAGGAAGCGCAGCACGAAGTGCATGGCACGGAAGCCGTAAGGTCTGTACACCTGGCGCTTAGAAGCGCCCCCTGAAGCACGTGGTGAGACTTTTGATTTAATCTCTGCCTCTCACGAAGGGAAGGGTGCCCACAGCGGACATGTTCCCAGTATTTTGAGCAAGTCAACAGGCCTTCGTACCATTCGAAGTGAGGATATGTGCGAACTGCAGGCTCTCATTGGGGCCCGATGAAACTCCACTGTGAGAATGCTGGCGTGAACAAAAAGCGCCTGCTGTTCCCGGCATCACTTGAGTCTGTCGTTCCTTGGAAAACCAATTTCCGTTTATTTGGTTTCAACAAAAGCCAAAAGGATGCCAACCATGAAATGGGTTCCTGTAGATTTGAGACAAACACTGCATAGCGTTGGATGGCTGTCAAACTTACCTGCCTGCAGCTGTGCGTTGGTACCCTGCCTTGGGCGAGCGACCCTCTGCGTGAAGGCAACGGAGAGTGTGACATTTTTTCCTTTATGAGTGGTGGTTTATATAAAGGGAAACCAACGAGCAACCACGCCATGTTGGGTGTTCCATATTTGGAGCTCTCGGATTCTACCAAGCCGAGTGCCGGGGGTCCACCATCAAACAAGACTCAGTTTACAGAAACAAAGGCCGGCAGCGGGGTATGGCTCACCTTGGAAAACGACGCCTTGCCCTCAGCCCGAAAAACAAGAGCTCGCAGTTTGAGAAGTTCTCCGTGACCAAAATCCAACATCTCCATAAGCGTGTGCCAGCCGCACGTTCGCTTGGACACGGCAGCGTGAGAATGGCGGCAAGGGGCTTCGACAATCTGGGGGGTAGCCGAGATGTCCACAGTCTACCCGAGATTAACAAATCTGGCTGCTGAGCCCCCCACTCACCTGCGGCCTTTGAAGCCGGGCTGAAGGGCGGGGCGGCTTCAAGAAGAAACGTCTGACTGTCGAAAACCAACGAACCCTCCACACCTTGTCTGTTCCTGGCCAGCAACAACTTCAGGACTCAAGTAACGAATACTGATGAAGGCTGGCAACTGAGAAGTGGCAGAACGGTGAAGAGCAACCATCAGAAACAGGCCCTGACATAGAATCCAAATGACCCATTGGACAAAGCACGCTGAACAGCCTGATTTCCAAATAGGTGTGGACAAAACTATTATCGTGTACACGCAAAGGCAACAGCTTCACGAGTGAAAGATCTCCTTTCAGGCAAGTTTGCAACCGTGCGCCTCGTGCCTTCATGGCGTTCACAAATCACTGAGCTACTGCCGGGTCAACGCCACCTACAATGACACATCTGGCATTACCTTGATCCATGATCAAATGCTCCAAATCAGTGAAGTGTGGATCCCACAGAAAGCTGCTCACACTCTATGCTGAAGGGAATCCGAATCAACGTAGCATTGCGTGCCAATCTGTGCTGGTGTGCTACTTTTTGCTTGTTGGCTTGTTGGCCAGCCCAAGGATCCACTGCTGCTAGCGTGGCAACCAAAACGTCAAACAAGTTGGCTAAGAACTGTGGGAATATCTCCACCATTGAGCGTCTTTCATAGAGACCAGAACGCATTGCATGGCGCCCTGTCCTTCGGCTGTGACCAGTTGTGGTATGGCTACTGGTTCGAATCCCAGGATATTAAAGTATAATTTTTTATTTGGGTTCCAGCCACCAAAGTTTGAAACTTTGGTTTTGGCCGAGTCAAGCCAAAGTGCAATTGACCCTCTTGAGAATGGCAAGGGTCCTATCATTTTCCCACACCCTCTCTCTCCACGGCCATGCCACCCGCCCAGTTGTGGTCCCCGGCCGGCTCTGCACTTGCCACCCGCACATGCTGGGAACGCTCCTGACGGGATGAGGCAGCTCAGTCCGCCGACCACGAGCTTTCTGAACCCGAAAGATCTGGCTGTAGGCACGGGCAAGACCCAGGATGAACTCGGTCCAAAGCAGACGATGCACAGATGTTGGTACACATCATTGATCAAGGAAGAGGGCCAAGCGCCGAAGTGCAAGGGAGCATGCAAAGGCATTCTTGCCCCATTCGCCAGCTTGTGAGGACAACAGCTCAACATCTTACACCATCCCTCGCGAATCACATGAACTCCTGGTGGATGGAACGGATGATATCGCGGTTTTAACAACCGGCTGCAGAGTGAGTAAATCAGCGGCTGCGGCTCCTTCTGCGTGCCAAAAATCGTCAGAACCATCCTGGGCTCTCCGAGGCTTGGCATTGCCCACTGCCACTAAAAGGCCTTCCCAACTGATTCACCTAGAGCAGGTTCCCTGGCATCGATCCCCGCAACCGAACATGTTCAGAGCAAATCCCAGGTCCTGAAACCAACAGAGTGAATTTTATTGGGTGCTTGTTCTGAAAAAAGGAGACATTTGACAACAAGCATCTGTAACTCCAGCAAATCCTACTGCCTTGGTTTCTGCGACTGCTCTTGGCGACTCCCAGGCTTCATACCAGGGAACCAAACTGCCACCTAATTCCGTGCGAGTCGGTGTTTAGCAGCCGGGGTCTTAAGTGGGAGGCCCCTTGCAGACCAGGAGCTGTTGCAGCATGCCTTCTGCAGAAGACCTGGCTGCAGGCGATGACATCTTGTTCAGTCTGCAGCCGTTCGTGGAAAACAGTTCAAATTATGATGACCATCGCACAACTGCGGCTTGAGGCCGCAATGGCTTTGGGTGGCTGCGTAACTCTCCTTGGGATGGCTCAATAAGCCGGGAGATGATTCCAAGCTACGTAGGCCGTATCATATTCTTTGCTGCCCCCAAGAAACCAAAGGTGTTGACCGTGATATAAATTCAGGTCGCATGTGCTGATCCTTGCAAGCCTGATCAGCATTTCTGCAGCTGGCTTCTGCCGAGTTGTTGTAGCTTTCGGTCCAGGAGGAACAGAAACGGCTCAAAGTCCATTCTCCCCTTCACCTGGACCCTTCCCTGGCTTATATTGCTTGCTCTGAGCGAGGAAAATGGGCGGAGCGTCCCATACAGGAATCTCAAAGTTGGAAAAGACTCATTCCCTCATCCACATCTATCCTGTAAGGGGTTCAGGTTCATGCAGCGATGTCTCCCCTCCGGCTTGACAGTTCCCAGGCCTCAGCAGGTGGGTGGCCCTAGGCTGCCGGGAGATCTGGAAGCACTTCCGCACCTCGGTTTTGGCGCCCGGATGGACGAAATCCTGCACCAGGATTCAGGGGGTTTCTCATCCATCCCAACTTGTGAATTGTGTCCGTCCTTTTGGAAACACAAACGACAGGGCACCTGCCACCAAAAGACCCGGTGCCAAATGACTACTACCTGTTCATGTGTTTCGATCTGCTGGTTCAAGTGGGCTTGCTTGGCGGGGGCACCAAATTAGTTCCGAACAAAGAGCTCGGAAATTAAACCATGTCACACAAGAAACCCTTCAAGCCCCATGCTGGTTGGTGCCTAGCGTGGTGTCATGATTGAGAAGCTACCCTCAGCAAGAGTTGTGGGTCGTCGCTTTTACCTGATCGCACCAAAGGGTCTTGTTGCAATCATCCAATCTAAAGACAGCTGAAGCCCTTGCATCAGCTGATGGCAAGCGGATGGCAGAGATCTCTCCCGAACACGATGAGCAAAAAGTCCATCTCGCGCCCTCGCGTGCCAAACCAGAACAACAAAAGCGAGCCTTGCGGCTTCCACTGAAGGCAATCTGCGAGTTTTCTTGGGCACCCGGGCCATGTTCCAAACGCACGGGTCGCTGAGGTACTGCCCCGCTGTGCAGCGGAGACAATCCAGCAGCAGACCCACCTGCGGGCGCAAGGGGTCGGGCGTGCCACAAATCCATTGGGGGCAGGGCAGCGACTGCTTGAACTATGGCTTCTAATTGCTGATGGTTCAGCCAAACAAGCAAAGGACAAACACAAATAAGGTATCCAATGGCCACCGAATCAGGATGCAAAGCCTCTCTATAGCCTGTTGGCACTGCAGAACTCCATAATATCTATCTCATATTGTACAAAAGGTGGGGCTCTGGAGCCTGGAGTTATGCTCAACATGCACAGCCGCAGGATGCGGGGAAGCCTCTGCTCTGACACTACTTTGAGTTCGATTCTCGCCTCTGTGCCACACTAGGCAGGACCAACCTCCATGCAGCAACTTGCAGGTGGAGTAAGAGGGGAACTCATGCTTGCTCATGACTCAACCCAAATGTTATCCCAATGTTCAACAAAAGATTCCAGCCCGGCCAGCCCCCTGAGCGCCACTTTGTGCCGGAATATCTTCTCCGTAGCTCTCTGGGAGTCTGCACCTGCACCAATAGCCTTCCTCCAAGCTTTGGCAGTCGGTTGCAGGCTGTGTTGCAGCTCCTTAAACCATGTCATGCCTCTCACTGCGGCTCCACCCTGTAGACGTAGATGTTGCCATCTGTGGAGCCGGCAAAGAAGAGGCTGCCGTCAGCGTTCCAGGACAGGGAGACGCACCAAGGGATGCCGTTCTTGGAGGGGTTGATGGCGCTCAGCTCCTCAGTCACCTGCTTGTTCTCCAGGTCCCAAACGCGGATGGTGGTGTCCGTGGCTGCGGTGAGCCAGTAGTTCTTGGGGCTGAAGGTCAGGGCGTTGATGGTGCCACCCGCGTCCAGCGAGTACAGGTGCTTGCCCTCGTTGACATCCCAAAGCATCATGGTGCCGTCCTTGCCGCCGGAGGCACACAGGGAGCCGTCAGGGGACACGGTGGTGGCATAGACCACGCCGGTGTGGCCCACAAGGTTGGTGCGCAGCTTGCAATTGCTCAGGTTCCACACCTTCACCAGCTTGTCCCAACCAGCAGACACGAGCAAGGGCATCTTGGCAGAGGGGGAGAAGCCAACAGAGCTCACCCAGTCCGTGTGCATGTCCTCAACGATAGTGTACTTGCACTCTGCCACGGTGTTCCAGAGCTTGATGGTCTTGTCACGGCTGCCGGACACGATCTGACGGTTGTCACCGGAGAAGGCAACACTGTTCACGTCCTTGGTGTGGCCCTTAAAGGTTCGAACAGTGGCACCGGTGTTCAAATCCCACAGGCGCATGGTCTTGTCCCAGGAGCCAGACAGGGCATACTGGCCATCAGACGACAGCACGGAACTGGCAACAGCCTCACCGTGGCCATGGAGAGACCTTCGGGCATAGCCAGGGTTCTCGCCATCCGGAGTCAGCTCCCAGATCATCAGGGTCTTATCTCGCGAGGAAGAGACCACCAGGTTGCTCTGCTCATAGGTGCAAGCAATGGCGGTGACCCAGTCGCGGTGGCCCGAGAGGGTGCCAACGAACTGCCAACTGTCAGACATGGCTCAGGGATGGCTGATGAGCTCAGCTCTCAACTTTCAATCCGGCAAAACCTGCGGCACAGTCAAACACAAATACAGCATGCTTTCAACCATACACCGCCCTTGACACTGGGCCTGCCATTTGCCTGATATGTGAAGCAAGGCACTTTCCGCATGATGAATGATTATGGTGAAGAAAAATAGAGTTACGTTAAAAAACATGAGAGGTGGGACAGCAATGCAGCGCACAGGCAAAGGGGCAAGCCATGCAAAGACACAACAACTGTCAGTCTTGCAAATCGTTGCTGACATGTCTGGCACGCCAAGCCTGACCAACTGCCACCACCCACTTTTCTCTCCAACCGTAGCTCCTCCGTGACCCGTCCCAGGTTCCTTCCTCCAGCGCAAGCTGGCAGTCGGTGACAGGGATCTTGCAAGTCTCCATCCTGTAGACGTGGAATGTGCCAGACGATCTGTTCTGCCGACATTCAGTCAGCACTAGTGGCCTTTCCGGACACATAGCACACTCACTGCGGCTCCACCTTGTAGACGTAGATGTTGCCATCTGTGGAGCCGGCAAAGAAGAGGCTGCCGTCAGCGTTCCAGGACAGGGAGACGCACCAAGGGATGCCGTTCTTGGAGGGGTTGATGGCGCTCAGCTCCTCAGTCACCTGCTTGTTCTCCAGGTCCCAAACGCGGATGGTGGTGTCTGTGGCTGCGGTGAGCCAGTAGTTCTTGGGGCTGAAGGTCAGGGCGTTGATGGTGCCACCCGCGTCCAGCGAGTACAGGTGCTTGCCCTCGTTGACATCCCACAGCATCATGGTGCCGTCCTTGCCGCCGGAGGCACACAGGGAGCCGTCAGGGGACACGGTGGTGGCATAGACCACGCCAGTGTGGCCCACAAGGTTGGTGCGCAGCTTGCAATTGCTCAGGTTCCACACCTTCACCAGCTTGTCCCAACCAGCAGACACGAGCAAGGGCATCTTGGCAGAGGGGGAGAAGCCAACAGAGCTCACCCAGTCCGTGTGCATGTCCTCAACGATAGTGTACTTGCACTCTGCCACGGTGTTCCAGAGCTTGATGGTCTTGTCACGGCTGCCGGACACGATCTGACGGTTGTCACCGGAGAAGGCAACACTGTTCACGTCCTTGGTGTGGCCCTTGAAGGTTCGAACAGTGGCACCGGTGTTCAAATCCCACAGGCGCATGGTCTTGTCCCAGGAGCCAGACAGGGCATACTGGCCATCAGACGACAGCACGGAACTGGCAACAGCCTCACCGTGGCCATGGAGAGACCTTCGGGCATAGCCAGGGTTCTCGCCATCCGGAGTCAGCTCCCAGATCATCAGGGTCTTATCTCGCGAGGAAGAGACCACCAGGTTGCTCTGCTCATAGGTGCAAGCAATGGCGGTGACCCAGTCGCGGTGGCCCGAGAGGGTGCCAACGAACTGCCAACTGTCAGACATGGCTCAGGGATGGCTGATGAGCTCAGCTCTCAACTTTCAATCCGGCAAAACCTGCGGCACAGTCAAACACAAATACAGCATGCTTTCAACCATACACCGCCCTTGACACTGGGCCTGCCATTTGCCTGATATGTGAAGCAAGGCACTTTCCGCATGATGAATGATTATGGTGAAGAAAAATAGAGTTGCGTTAAAAACATGAGAGGTGGGACAGCAATGCAGCGCACAGGCAAAGGGGCAAGCCATGCAAAGACACAACAACTGTCAGTCTTGCAAATCGTTGCTCATATGGCCATGGGTCAAAAGCCTGTACCCCCAGTGAACATGTCCAATCCACGCTACAAAAGACTAAAATGGGTGGTGCACCTACCCCAAAATGGTAACATTGGTTTTGACTAACATGTCTTGCACGCAAAGCCTGACCAACTGCCACCATCCACTTTTCTCTCTAACCGTAGCTCCTCCGTGACCCGTCCCAAGTTCCTTCCTCCAGCGCAAGCTGGCAGTCGGTGACGGGAGTCTGCAAGTGGCGTTCTCCTCTCAATTTTCTATCTACTGATCCACCCTGTAGACGTAGATGTTGCCATCTGTGGAGCCAGCAAAGAAGAGGCTGCCGTCAGCGTTCCAGGACAAGGAGACGCACCAAGGAATGCCGTTCTTGGAGGGGTTGATGGCGCTCAGCTCCTCAGTCACCTGCTTGTTCTCCAGGTCCCAAACGCGGATGGTGGTGTCTGTGGCTGCGGTGAGCCAGTAGTTCTTGGGGCTGAAGGTCAGGGCGTTGATGGTGCCACCCGCGTCCAGCGAGTACAGGTGCTTGCCCTCGTTGACATCCCAAAGCATCATGGTGCCGTCCTTGCCGCCGGAGGCACACAGAGAGCCGTCAGGGGACACGGTGGTGGCATAGACCACGCCAGTGTGGCCCACAAGGTTGGTGCGCAGCTTGCAATTGCTCAGGTTCCACACCTTCACCAGCTTGTCCCAACCAGCAGACACGAGCAAGGGCATCTTGGCAGAGGGGGAGAAGCCAACAGAGCTCACCCAGTCCGTGTGCATGTCCTCAACGATAGTGTACTTGCACTCTGCCACGGTGTTCCAGAGCTTGATGGTCTTGTCACGGCTGCCGGACACGATCTGACGGTTGTCACCGGAGAAGGCAACACTGTTCACGTCCTTGGTGTGGCCCTTGAAGGTTCGAACAGTGGCACCGGTGTTCAAATCCCACAAGCGCATGGTCTTGTCCCAGGAGCCAGACAGGGCATACTGGCCATCAGACGAGAGCACGGCACTGGCAACAGCCTCACCGTGGCCATGGAGAGACCTTCGGGCATAGCCAGGGTTCTCGCCATCCGGAGTCAGCTCCCAGATCATCAGGGTCTTATCTCGCGAGGAAGAGACCACCAGGTTGCTCTGCTCATAGGTGCAAGCAATGGCGGTGACCCAGTCGCGGTGGCCCGAGAGGGTGCCAACGAACTGCCAACTGTCAGACATGATTCCGCACAAGAGAGAGAGAGGGAGAGGGACGCCGAGTTACAAATGCTTCGACCAAATTGGTTTGACCAAGCCCTTTGCAAACCTGCCACTGGCTCCTCAAGAACCCGTCGTACATGCCCAGGCCTTGCTCCCTTTCTCACCCATGGCTTGAAACAGACGCTCATCCCGAGTCCAACATCATTTTGTTGCATGGACGCAGGTGCTCGAAAGGCTTGAAGTCTCTGAACATTAATATGGTTTGCCTTTGCAAGGCCTGGCTCACAATGATGATAGGAGACCCCCGCCCCCATATCCCATTTTCAGAAACGTCTTCCGCTTGCCCCTTGCATTGGGTGGCGCACCATCTTCAGCAACACCACCTCATCGCTGGCGCTGCCATCAGACCTTGGAAAGCACACGGTCGCGGCCAGGAGAACGACTTCCCCTCACAGCCTGGAGCTTTGGAGGTTCCCAATTTTAGGAGACGACTTCCAACTTGGCATTGCTCCAATGGGAAGCTTGGTGCAAATTCCCTGGGCATTTGCATGAGCAAGGAAATAGATGCCGGCAGCGAGCAACCGCAGGCATACCACTCGAGGATGAACGGCCTGCTTCGAAAGACCCCCTCAGGTCGCCGGAGTGTGCCAAACCTTTCAGCTTTGTCAGTGCATTACTTCACTGAGGCAATCTTTACGCACCAGAAGCGCGCCTCAATCAAGCTAGATGCAAGGATGTCCCACGGGGCAGCCGATGAACCGCCTCTCAATATTCTATGAAACATTCGCTTGAGGCGTTGTTTGTCGTTTGTCGACTCTGGGCAGCTCCGGCATGGCGACAAGCTGCCCCGCCAGCGTCTGCCCTGAGCCCCGGACAAGAAGCGACAGTTGATGACGCCCCAGGCAAGAGTGTTGATCGCCTGGACCGGGATTAATGAGAAGAAGAAAGATGTTGTGTCTTGTGTGTCCTCCTGCATTCTGAACGGACAAGGTACCTGTGATAGCTTGAGCTGTCCACGCTGTTCAAAAGGCGAGTCCAACACATGGCGCTGTGTGGCAATGCCATGTGACGCTGTGCTTGGCTGCGCCTAAAGTCTTCATGTTGCGATGGCAGCACAAAACACAACTGAAGGCAAAACATGCATAGCGAGTTGGGATTTATCAGGCAAGCAAGCAAATGAAAGAAGCAAGGAACGCAAAGGGACATACTCAAACAAAAACGACCTCAGCCAAGGACTCATACGTATCTCCGCAAGGATCTGTATCTAGAAACGGATCTCCGCAAAGTCAGCTACCACATGGCCCGTCCGTCGGGTCGCATTGGGTGCTCTGCCTCCATGCAGCGAGGCGCATCTGGATGAACCAAGCCGAAGGACACCTCGTACAGCTGGGGGAAGGGAGGGGTTTGAGGCCCACCTCGAACCTGGGGCCTCTTTGCGAAGTGGGGGAAACAGCACGGGGGTCCATCTCTTAAGGGTGGCAAGGGGGGAGCTTCCAATCAGAGGCCATGTCACGTCGCACGCGACGAAAACGAAAAACGGGGGCAGCCCCGAACATCCCGAACTGGCTGGCCATCTGGGGTTGAGGTCTCACAGATCTTAGAAGTCTCAGCCAGAGATCTGCAAGCCGAGGCGCAAATTTGTCGACGGCTTCCAGCGCCACCTGTGGCCGAGTCGCGCAATCGGATCACACCACCCCATCTGGCAGCTGCTGTACACACCCGAAGCAAGCAGAGAGGCCCCGAGTTGAACAGCAACCTCCCAAGCGCCAAGGCTTGGAGAACGGGGACAGCGACCACCACTCCCCTGGCAACCAGGGCACCGCCGTGAGCTCCCCGGAGGTGGCATCCGACTGGATCACCTGCGACGGGTGGTTGGCAACCCGCATGGCAATATCATGTATCGATATTCTGGGGTTTGATCAAAAGGCCTCATGGGATGACCATTGGGGAAATCACCGAACAGACTATATTTCGACAAGTTATCCATGGTCATTTTGGGGCCGGACATATTGATCAACCCCCATATGAGCACCAGAACAGCTGTCGGACAAGCAACGACTGGGACAGGAGTCAAGTCATCATAAAAATGGGAGGGACTGAAGCCCGGATACTTGACAGCATGGAGCTGTCAAAGAGAACAGACAATAAGGAAACTGGCAACAAATACGGCTCCAACTCTTGCACCATGTTGCCCAAGATAGCAAAGAATTCTGCGTCTGATTGGTGAGTGGCACTGCTGTCTCTCAGCACCTGTGATCCTGACCAAGAATCCACTGCAGCCAATAGCGATTGCTACTTGCGTTCTAGCAGCAAAGCTGCAGCCACACCAGGCAATTGACCACCCGGAAGCTGTATAAACGGTAAACATTCTGTGGCCACCGAACAGTCACTTTCGAAGAGAAGTAAATATTTGTGAGGCAAAAACATCATATGGGTACATTTGGGGAGCGTGGTCATGACTCATAGTGGAAAAGACAACTCTCAACGTGTTGCCGACCGTTTTGGGGGCACGACGACAATTGCCCTTGGGCCGTCGGTTGCGGCTTGGGCCGCACCCGTCGGTTTGGGCCTCCAGGAAGGGCCCCAGGTACGCAACAATGTCGAACTCGTGGAGCTCGTGCATGTACCTGTCACCCCCCCCTCGTTTTCTATGGCCACGGACAAAACCTAAATGAGAAGCCTCGGCTTAGTCAGGAACGCTAGCTAAATCCAAGTCCAAAGGACAAAACACGCGAACCCCCAGCCCGCATTTCGTCTGAACCCTGGCGCACGTGAGCTCTTCGAAGAGCCGCTGGAACCTCAGCCAAGAGGCCAAAACGCGAGCTGAGCCCTGGTGCAAAAGAGCGAGGCTGTTGAGAGGTGTAGAAATCCGCTTTAGAAATCCGCATCTTAGCCCGAGTGAAACTTCAGGAAGGGCTTCAGGGGGTTAAATCTGTTGGGGATCTTATGTTGGATGTGGTCTAAAGAAAGTATAAGAAAACCACTGCCAACTGGCAGGGTCCCTAGTTTGATGATCATAACAAACAGGGCGGCCAAGCGGTATCAAATCTACTACACCACTAGACCGCTGGCACCCCGAATTCTGGGTTTCTGTGTGATTGCATGAAACCACTGAGAACTGGTTAGATGGGGACATTCTCATTGGGATTGCATGGAACGGCAATCACAAGCACAAAAGGCGATGGCCATGCTCAGTAAAGATCAATTGGGCAAAAGGCAACCTCTATGTGAAGCTTATTGTATTGAGTCGGGACAGTCTTAGCTCGGGGATGCAACTTTCCCTGAGCATTGGCTTCCACGTCCAAAACTCCTGGCCGTCGTCTTCTCAGGAGTGGGCCCAAAAGAAACTAAGTGCACACGAATCTAACGATCAAGCGCAGTAATGAGCAACTCTTCTAACACATTGCTTCGTACGTCAAATCCTAGTGATTGCCAAATTCCACGTACCGCCCGCAAGCGGAAGCGGCCTCTCGGGAGCCTGGCGACTTCAGTGAGCCCAAGTGAAACTTCGCCTGCGCAGCCGACGAGCCCGAGTCAAGCAGCCTGCGGAAATCAGCCTGATAAAAGCAACAGTTGGCATTCAGACCACCTTTACCCATTTCCAGCATCTGTCTGTTTACTCAACAGTGACAAGGAGCCCCTTGCAGCGAATCTAACTTGTTTCCCGTCTTACTCACAAAGGGATAAGGGGTGCGTAGGGGTAAGTCGAAAACTTGGAGTTGGCCAAATTCAATCCCTAGGATTCTTTGGCTGGAGCAACCGTTGGCTGGAGCAACCCTGCCGCAGAAGTTGATCCTCCCCTTCCAGCAGATCTCTTGGAATGGTTGGTTCTGCAGCATTCGATTCCAAGATTCCAAGCAAAGCCGGTCCAATGGCATTGGCAGAGTGTGGCACGGCGCTTGGCAAGAAGCACAAATACTGGACGGTGTGACTTGCTTGGTTCAGGAGCTAGCCAACAAAACATCGGAAGTGCACACAACAAAGAGTATATAGTTGTATCACTCAACTTAACAGGTGGGCTCGTGAAACGTGGCTGAAGAAAGGAGAGTGTACCGATTGTTTTGCTGATGTCAGTCAAGGTCTCAAGTCCTTCCTTTCCAGTTGGAGGGGATGCATATGCGGCCAATTCTGTACTACATACCTTCGCTTTGGTCGTGCATTGCCCGCGCAAAAACCTTCCCATGACCTGCTGCAACCGTTTCACAGTCGGGTACCCTGAGCCCGCCTGCGGTCCATTGCTGCCAAGCGCCGGCCGTGTCAGCCGCAGCCTCAACGGCATGGGGGACCAAACATTAAAGAAAAAAAGCGGAGAGGGGCGATAAGCTTCTTGTCTAGCTTCTCTGCCTGCCAGTGTCATTCAATGTGCCACGTGCTGTTGGAGGCTGCAAGACATGTGTGCTTGCTATGGCGGCCATCAACCGCCAACCTTGATGCTTCCCCAACTGCTTCCCCGATTCTGGCCACGGCAGACATGATCATGAAGACTTTCCAATGGACGATGCGCCTGTTTCTACCTCAGCTGTTGCAAAACAACAAGGATTTCAAAGAGGTCCGACATGTGGCGACTGCAGCTTCCGCTGGTAGTTTGTCCGCGACAGGCCGCAAAGCGATGCTTGGACAGCCATATGAAAAATGTGTGTCCTGCGTCGCGGGTAGTGGCTCTTCGGCTTTTGCTCCATTCCTCCGGAAGAAAGGCGCCCTTGCGGCAAATAGTTAGGCAGAAAGCACGATGTCGGTGCGGTGAAACGGTTGAATCAGCGGATGAACAACATAGGGGGGGCTGCATGGACTCCCCCGCCTTCCGAGAAATGGGGGTCCCCAATTTCAGTCTAGTGCAGAAAAGCGAAAATGGAGCTATACCTCCCCCAATTCCATTTTTACGGGGGTGGGGATTGCATAGACAACAGTCTGCTCACAAGTCAAGAAGCGATCAACCTGCTCTGTGAGAACTCTGGGCCAGGTGGCGTCGTGAGGATGTTGTGAATCTCGTTCTTCACACATCTCGGTCCAGGAACGGCGTGGGCTGTCTGTGCTTGCAGGGGCCATTGTGTTGCTGCTGGGAGACGACTCTTGATTCCTCTCTGACAAGTGAGGGCTGTCAGATCCAAGCCCCGCACTTTGCTGGAAACTTTGCCTGAGCTCTGTCTGCTCAAAGCACCCCGCAGCGGATGCACTGCAAGCTGCAGAAGGAAATGGAAGACAAACATGCGATCATAAAAGCTAACTCATAGCGCTTGTTGAGAACGATGAGTAGTCTTTGTGCTGCCATTAAGAATCCTTTTGCGCTGAATCATCATTGAAGCATTGGTCATCACCACAGAATCCCTTGAAAATCAGGCAACCCTTGTAGTAGGCCACAATGAAACATGCCAGAAATGCTGAAGCATCAGCAAACTGAGTGTTGCTAGCAGTCATCGCTTTCATGACTAAAACTGAAATTTAAACTCAAACATGCTCACTGTCAGGGACCCAGCAGAAGAATTCAGTGCCAAGAAGCTCTTCCAATAAGCTGCTCCATGGCGAAGCCGAGTCAAGAGTAATTCCGAGACCTGCCTAGATGTGCCTCTGGCGGAAATCCGGCTGTTGTGCCATATCTGCCACTGGAACTGTCTTGTCCTTGGGAGGTAGTTGTCCTTGCGCTTGTGCTGTGGTCTCTGGCCATTGGCCGACTCAGGTTGCCTCCAAGCTCCTTGTGCAAGTCTGCGTACTCAATCCAAAGTGTGTGTGTGTGTGTGCTGTTGCTGGGACCATGGGCCATCTACCGCTGACCTGCATCCAGTGTGGCTGTAAGCCCCTTTCTTGTTGATGGGGACTGGTGAAAGCTACCCACAATGCTTCGCAAGGCCGGATGGCATGGTGGGCGGAGCACGGAGCAAGCGGGACCTTTCGATGAGTGATCGTTCATGGCCAACAAGTTCCGAATGCTTGCCGAAACCTGCTGATGACACTAGTGTGGGGAAAGTGCCTCGCAATTAGCATGTCTGCCGTGAGGCAAACTGGCTGAGACGAGGGTGGCATTCAATTGTGCTTTGATAATCAACATATATACATATGTACTATGCTATCCGCTTCTAAATGCATTTGCGGTGGCTGTGCTTGCCGTCACTCATCGGCTCATTGAAGTCGGCCCTTGATATCCGCCGGCCAAGGAAGGAAAGGAAACAGGAAACGGGCGCGCACCGCCCCCCCTTCTGCGTCCTGCCGAGCGCAAGTTGCGCCAGTCAGTCACCTGCAAAGCGACGGCTTGGGGCTCTGGGGCGCACCATGTTCGGATGTCGCACAGGGAACCCAATGATCGCTTTCCTCTCAGCGTCTGAACACCAGGAACTGCCGGCTTGGGGAGTTTGTGGCTTGTGGCTTGACGCATGAGGGATGACAGGCCCAAAGTCAGAAGCCTTCGCCGCCAGAGATTCAAGAGCACCCAGCACAACCAAGATCATCGCCTTCGCCTGCAAGGGGCCTTGGAGTCAGAAGCTGCCCGAAGTTCGCGAGTTGCACCCAGGCAGAAGGCAACTTTTGGGGCGTTCTCAATCGCGGTCGCTCAACCCCGGACCTCGCGCAAAGCTCCGACCTGCGTCTCGAAGCCTGGGCAGGCCACACAAGCAGAACTGAAGCTCTTCCGAGAGCCTGGCGCAACCCTGGATCTGTTGATATCCGCAAACTTCCAGATACCATGGGGATGGCTAAGCCAGAGGACCATAGGAAGCCTTCAAAAAGTGTTTGTATTCCAAAGCGGTCAAAGCTTGAAGCAACTGAGCAGGGGGAAAACATCTTCAGGGGCTTGCAGCCCTTCCAGCCTGGCAACCTTTCAAATGCTACTGGAAAAGCCCAAAGAGTGCTTTGGCTTGCAAAGTCTAGGTGCAAAGCTCAGCACGTTCATGTTATTCTGATATGTTCTGATTCACACCTTGTTATCGCCTACAATAGCCACCTGGCCTCATTTTCCTATGAGTCAGGGCAGGCCACGCTTCTGATTTACAAACGGGAGGTCTGCGGCACAGTGCTTCGTCTGGCGCCCGCCCGCACACCCGCTCACATGCATCTGCACATGTCTGCTTGCCCTTCGGATTCTTTCAGTGGCTACAAGGTGTAAGGCTTCAAGGAGTCAAAGCAAGGCACTCAGCACTGACACCCTGGCACCCTGGCACCCTGGCACCGGGCCCGGGCAACAAATCAGCCCAGGCGTCCAAGATCTGAGCGAAGCTCGGGGAAGCTTTCGAATTTCAGGATCCATTCTAAGGCATCCGGAGGTTGGGATTCATGGAGTTCTATGGCCACCCGCCGTCAAGCTACAATCTTCTGGCTCAGATTGGGCTTTCTTATGGCTGTCTTGTTGACGGAACAGCCTGCACACCCCAGCTGATTTCAACAGCCCTGGCCGGCTGGCCGGCGAACAATCCTCTCCTGTTGACATTCCCCGAACCTTTCCAACGCCCGAGGATACCACCAGCAGCTTGGAGGGGGGGAAAAAAACGAAAGAGAAAAAAAGGGGGAGAAAAATAAGAAAAACACGACTAGTTCGGAAAGGGGTGCGAATTGGCTATGACACATTGGTTGATCGACCTGATTTTCCCAGTTTCCCGCTTTCCATCCGAAGCCCCTTGAAGCAACCTGTGCAGCTTGGGTCTTGTGATTCGAACAGGCCCTGCTTTAAATGGCGGGCAAAATCGAAGCCACTGCAAAAGGAGTCCACAGAAACACAAACTACATAAGCATACGTGTCTCAAACTTAAGGACCTTGGCTGGTTGACCATGTTTTCTCCTTGCCAATGTCTGAGACGTGTGCCAAGGCCCGCACTTTCACAGCTCGAGCTGCGCCGCGGGGTGACCGAGAACCTCCGCGAGTGAAGGCCAGGCATGTTTCATGTACCCACCAACCGTGTGGGCCATGCGTAACGACAACTCAAGTATTCAGCATGCTCGGGATCAGCTGCGGTCTAACACGCTGCAATATGTGATGTCCTGTACAATGGAACAGTGATAGGATCTTGCAGAAAGCATTGAGGTCAGAAGACTTAAATTCAGTTGCCGTCAGGGAGAATCGATATGCCCTTAATCTCAACAACATTCTGATAAACAGAACAGCTCATCGTCTCAATGCTGCCCTTATCTTGGCATGTTTCAAAACAGACGTGATCTTGCAATCTTCCTGCAGCAATGTAAGCTGCCAACATGGGGATGATTGTTCCCCCCCCTCCCCCCACGATTCAAACACATTCAAGCAAGTGAAACCATGATGTTACTCCAAGCAGGAATTTTGACACAGCATCAGCACGGTGCACCCGTTGCCCCGACCCTGCTCAACACTCCAGAACACAGCTCACTGCCTCCCGGACGCCGGAAGTCTGAGCACCTGGCGCAAACGAAGATGGCTATGAGTCTGAATAGGGAACATGCTCAAAAGCGTTCGGTGGACATAAACCCCATGTAAATGATCTCCATCCAAGGTCGCTTGCCTAAAATAACTCAGATCAGCACAAAGCATTCAGGTGGCAAGCCCCCTGTGGCAGTTCCCCAAAAATGCTCGGTTCGTCCCTGTCTGTTGGTTTCGCAGCTTGTGGCATTCGCTTCAGTGGCTATCAAAAGCCGAGCGCCATTTTTGACAGAGCCCCAACACGAATGATGAAGCTGGCTGTCTTCAAAATTGAACAGCACGTTGCACCATACTGATTCTGCCCTCCCCCGATCACTGTCAGTGTGTATCTCCATCAATCCCACACTTCGCTCTACTCTGCAAATTGTTCCCAACCCCCCCCCCCCCGGCGGCCCCACACCCACACCCTTTTGGGCTATGCCAGGTCAAATCACCAACGGCAAACAATCCGTACAGCCCCCCCCCTTTCTCCCCCGTTTCGGGGAGCCTTCCCTTGATCCCCTCTGCTTCTCCCCTCGCGCCTCCTCAGGCGCTGCACACTTGCCGAGGTGAACCTGGCGGGCGACGCCAACCAGAAGCCCAGATGTCAGTGGCTTTCCAACGCTGACAGACCCGGGAGAAATACTACCTCCATCTACCTCCTATGCTGCAGAATTGTTATGGCACATTTCAAGACGTGTAGTGCTTGATGCATTTGATGTGGGCATTGCTGCTGCAAATGCTTGGCATTTGGCCTGCTTTTGGTGTTTCGCAACAACAACAAAAAAAAGAGGGAGGGGGAGATCGCAGGCGCAGTCTTTCTGCCTATGTTCCTTGCATTCCAAAAGCAAGGCTTTCTTCGCTTGGATGGTGGAGCCCAAACCATTATCCAGCCAGATTCAAGGAACAGAACCATGCCCGGGTTGATTTAAGTTTTTCTTCAGTGGGCATAAAAACTGCTTCTGCTGTTTATGTGCTCACATGCTGTTTACCTGCATCCGTCCCGGAGTTCTCGCGCCAAACTCAAGAAGCTTGAGACTTCGCAGATTAACATCACCTGTGGATTCTTCAAAGTTCTCGGCGCAGTACACCCGTTGATCCTTCGGTGCCTTTTTGGTGCAACTGGGAGCTGGTGCCCCGCCTTCTCGGAGAGCTTCCCCAACAAGCCCTTGTGCCAAGCCTGGGCGCAGGGCACCTCTGAGAAGGGGCCTCACACGGTGGAAAGCTGGAATAACGCTCAACGCCGTAGCTCCTGAGAGGACACAGGAGCCAACCTTCATTAATTCCAAGTGGTGTCAAAAAAAAAACCCTAGATATAGGGGAAGCCTACATTGCTACGGGTATGATTTCCGCTGATGGATCCTCCAAATGGTGCCCTCTTTTGAGCTGTAGTTAGAGAGAAACCAAGATAGATCAACAGCTTCAAGGAGATCTCCTGGAGATCAGTCGTCAACCCCGCGCGCCGGTTTTCTCAGCATGGGAAACAGTCGCACCGTGGCCGGTCGCAAATGCCCAAGCAATTCCGAAGCTGGCAACGAGTACCGCCGGCAAGATGCTGGTTGAGCCCCGGAACTGTCACTTGTCATTGGAAACCTGTCCCCAGCTTCTTACAAGAGGCCCTAAGTTTGCAAGTGTTTCCCTGTCACATGGCCGTTGATCTAAATTCCTTGTTCCTGGAACGGCCATTCTTCGCGAAAAAAAATTTCTCTTTCGCGAAACTTTCGCGACCCTCATCGCGCAGCTACCCTTACGAGAACCACCCCTTTCACAAGTAGAAACTGGAACTGCGAAAGCCGAAGAATGTCCAGGACTACGAACACGATGTTATTGGTGGCGCCGATAATCATACCCATGCCCTGCCGGCAGGTTTGTTGTATAGAACATCGTAAGGCAACCGCCCCCCTTAAGTTTGCCCCAGCTCGTATTGCTCGTATGCGAACAATGGGTGCGCTGGGGTCATGTGTTGTGTGCCATATGGAGTTCCCTATAAAACTGCAAGTGGACGCAACCCTGTGGTGGTTCATGAGCAGAAGCGCAACAGCAAGTCGCAGCCAAATTTTAGCTGCGTTGGCTTGGTTGCCGTTAGTCTGAAGCACTGTCTGTGCTGCTCCCGGAAGTGGAAGTGCTAGCCCACTGTCTTGGCAGGAGCAGCCCCGTTGGCCAGCCATGTGCGGAAGCGGGCTGAGAGGTCCATGAACTTTCGCGAAACTTTCGCGGATCTTGCGCCAAACATTGGTGGAAATGTGGCTGACAAGTTGGATTCATCCGCGGGCCCAAAGGGGCCCTCAACACTTTAGCAACGTTACACGGGGCACTGTCCCATATGTGCGGCGGTCAAAACATGTGTTGTGGTTGGCTGTCATGGCTGGCTGGGGTGTCGCTCTTCAAGGCCCCCTGTCGCTGCACACAGGCCCCCTGTCAGCAAGTCCGCTCGCATGAAAACCACATACCCAATCCCATATGTCCGAGGTCCTATAAGACCAGTGATTCACGTAATGCACGAAAAACTTTCGCGAAAAAAAAAAATACTTTCGCGAAGTCCATCGCGGAGCTTTCGCGGGGGATCATGGATGGTACCAAATGGTCGTCCCCTTCATATTGTAAAGCAAGGACCTTTAGATCAACTCTCACATGGCTGAACTCTTCACCAAACTTTACCCAATACAGTTGTGGGTCCCGAAAATGCCTGCCACGAGGTCTCTCCCCGAATCAACTCCCAAGTATCAGGGTTTTGAACCAAATGGAGATGCAACACACGTGTACCCTTATTTGGAAACTGAAGGCCACCCACATCAAGTCCATGGACGGATTGTTCTTTGTCATCGGACTCGGTTCGCCAACGAGGCTTCCGCTACTTTGAGCGACTCCTGGCCACGCGCGTGGCGCACCGGGCAGATGCGACTTCGCGAGGGCACCTGGCGGCTTGGGTGAGACAAGGTCCGCCACGCCTTGTGGGGGGGGGAAGACCCGCTGCTCGCGTTCTTTGACAGGGGTAAGTTATGCAGAAATCCAAGTGTCAACATGCTCCGGCCCCCTTGCTGGAAAATCCCAATGATTTTCTAATCAAGGGCGGCGTCAAACAGCAAGATGCCAACAAACAGCCATACCCACAGTCACCACAATGTGAAAGACTATGCTGGTGGTAGGGGGCAGGCTTCAACATATTACATCATATTAAATGATACGGAGCCATGGCAAGATTGACTGGGCTGAAACGAGCATGCCATGGCAGGAATGGCAAGTGTTTTGTAGTGATAAGCTTGAGTGAAATGAGGCCAAAACGACCATCAAGTTGCGTGGCTGCTCATCGCTTTTCGCGCTGCAAACAGGGTCTTCCCCTTTGCCCAATTTCGCCCATTTCTCGGCTGGCGCACATGTGCCCAGTTTAGGCACCCAGTTCTTCTACGACACTGCGGCAAGCGCCACAGGAAGCCAACAGCTCGGGAAGGACAGCGATTCTCCACGCCTAGGTCAAAAAGGTGCTGGGTATGTCTCCAGGGCTTGAGAGAAACTCAAATGAAAACTCACCTTTTTGAGGGTGTCTGCTTTGGATACGTGGCTGACATTTGGCTCACAGTGCAAGGACGCGCTCTCGGGTGCCCGCTGCACAGAGCAGTCAAAGTTCGGCAAACTCTGAGAACGATCGACATGACAAATGCAGTGCCCTTTGAGCAGTGCTGGTGTCTCTTTGGGAACCACTTGTTCGGCGCAAGGGCACGCACCGGCCGTTCGTTTTGTGGGAAAGCGTCTCTCAGATGGCGTGGTCCGCGGCCTTTTCGGTGACCACCTCGATGCCGTGCTCCTCCGGGCCGCCGAGTCCTGCGAGAAAGGCCCGGCCCGATTCGATGCTAGCGCTCGGGGCCAAACCTCCGCCAGGTTCGGAGGGCTCGTTCTGCCCGGGTTCCCCCACCCACCCCGGTTTTGTCCCATGCCCTGTATGTTGCCTGCCCCAAACACGACGACCACGAACGGCCGAGTCAGCATTTGACTCGTGGCAAGTGGCGTTTGCTTGGCCGGCTTGAAAAGGCCAAAGAAAGCTGCGGCAAAGTGCTCAAACAGGCCCAGACTGAATCAAGTCCTGGATCCAGGCCCATGGCCGGCTGGTGCAGCATCGTCTGCTGGTCCGACAAGGAAACATCCTGCAGCGCATCCACGAAACGCATGTGGAAGTCTGTCAGGGAGATGTCGTTGGTGTCTTGCCCGAAAGGGTTCTCCAGCTCCTTGCACGCTTCTCTTTTGGACGGACGGGCAAAAAAGAAGGTTGTTTCTGTAGGCCCGGAAAAGCGCTCGTCTTTGGCTGCGTGCAAAGGCAAGCATCAAGACGCTGCCGAGCGTTCAGCAGAGAGTTGCTGACCTCAACTCGGTCAAGAGAAAGACGCCAAACTTAAATGAGCCTCACTGGCCAAAAGCAACTTGCTTGCCAAATGCCGCTGTGCAAAGAAAAGCGCAATATTGCACCAATGAAATTCCTGCTTGCTACGGCCCAAGTTTCCTGGCCACGGATACAACAAGCGCTGCAACTCCGCTCGAGCCTGTGACGTGCCCGCTGAGTGACTCGTGAGTTTGCGAGTTCCGTAAATTGTAAGTCACCACTTAGTGCATCCGCTAGTTGGGTATGTGGTGGGAAGGCAGGCAAGAAGTGGGCTGGTTGTGGGTGGGAGGCCAGTCTGTCCACAAGTCAGTCGGTTGGCATTTGGTTACTTGCGCTGCGGGTTGAATTGTCCTTGCAGTAGGTTGAGTACATCACTCGCATTGTCAGCAAACTCGCTTCGATGAAAGATCATTTTGTAGCTAATGGTTAGGTAATCAGTTTGTCAGTCGGTCGGTCGGTCGGTTGGGTGGGTTGGCTAGTTAGCTGAATAAGTCAGATGAAAAGATATCTTGTTGGACTGGTCAGTTGGCGAGGTGTCTTGGGACTTTAGCATGTAATTTGGTGAGTCAAGCCATTCACGACTTCACCGGATACTTGGTCACTGGCAGCCAAGTTTTCCAAGTCGATGCACAGCCTGATGGTGGAGAACAGGCAGTTTGTGTGTGTGTGTGTCCCTCCCGGGTCTTCGCCTGTCCTTTGCCACCTCATTGAGGCACCAAAGGCTCTCGAAGAGGAAGAAGCACAGGATGGGCCCGGCCACTGGAGAACCGGTAAACACGATAACCTCAGCACCAGCTTGGCAGTCGCAGCCCGGTCAAAACTGCGCCTCTCGTAAGAGATGGCCGATCCCTGGGTAGGGTGCCACAGGGATAAGGGTCGTGATTCGGAATCCAGGGCTTAGCAAGCAGGCTGGCCACGTCTGCCAGGGACAGCGCGATGACACAAAGGGCCGGAAACCACGATAAAACTGCCAGTATCACGGAAAGGGATGATAGCCTTCACCGAATGCTGAGCCTGTTTACAAGCCAACCGGATCCTTGGTCCGTGCAAAAGAAGGGGAATATTGCATGGGGATCTCGTCTGGTGGGAGGTCCTCACGCTCCTCTTCCCTCGCCATGCACAACTCCACCAGAGTGTGCCTCCCCCCGCACACCCAGCGCCAATGACTGGAAGGTGTCCTTTCGTTCATGCGGGTTTCCCCCGCAAGGCTTGCCCCTGGTGGCTTTTATGAAAATGGAACCAGACCCCATACCACCCCAACCCCCACCCCCATCAGCTCCCACGGGTTCCGTGGGAAAATCCCCAAACCCCAAAACCGAGCCCTCCCCACCCGACTGCCGACTGCCCCCGACTGCCCCCCAGGGGGCATAGACGGGGATCAACGCGGAGAAGGCCACGAGCAGCAAGCCCAGCAGCTGCGCGAAGGGCAGAGGGAACGGCACCTCGCTTCTCAGGATCCGATGCGGATCCAAATACCGAGCTGGAGGTGGATCGGCGGGGGGATGTGTTTCTCAAATTTGGGCGCCTTTTTGGTAGCCCCGTTAACTTTAGAGGGCGGCACCAGGCTCTTTGTTTTGCACCGGGGTCCAAGGGGACACCTTTTTTGACAACCCGTGCTCGTCTTTCTGCGAGGCGTGCCGGCTATTAGGAAGGGACAGCATCCAGAGGTGCGTATTGTCAAAACCTGGGGTAAAGCTCTTATCAACATGATTCCCTTTGGCCAAATGTTGAGATTATCTTTGGGATGTTGAATTTTGAGGGTGTCCCAGCCAGCCGAAAATTATTGCCATGTCAGGGGTTGATGCTGG